GGATACGTCCGATCATCTCCACTTCTTTCCTTGCTCCTGGAAGTTGCACCAAACATCTTCCTTGATAGATAATATCTTTGAAACAAGGGTCGCCGACGAGCAATGTACCAGTCTTCATGTGAAAGTCAGCTGGGCAATCATGAATTAATTGTAACGTCGTCAGAGAGGGAAGCACACAGATTCTGTAAGAATCACTTAGATATGATGAGTTCGAGTCCTGCAATGTTGCATAAGGTGCAAGGCAAAATGGCCCCTCAGGAATGAATGTTAGCCCGTTGTCTTCGATCAGATCAGCAATAGGAGTAACGATGATTTCATGAAGCTTCTTTAAAGGACTTGATTGGGAGTACCTCACGTCAACTTAAATCACATCGTTGGCCACTTCCTCCTCTTTCGGCAAATCAAGCGGAGGATTTTCGCTTGTGACAGTATCTCTTGCATCGATCTCCTTAAAAGCGGTTTTTTTCGGTAGCTGGATGAAAAATTCTAATTCATCCTCATACTTAAAATTGTTCACGTGTGCCTTTCTCAACGGGATATTGTCTTCGCTAAGGCAACCCAGAGGTAAACAAATGGTCCACTAATAGCTATGAAAATTGTCCTCAATGGAACACAACTCAGAGAAACGCACGAAGCGCTGTGCGTTGAAGAATCTTCAGGCTGATATGGGTAGATGTCGGTTAACATGGTAGAACATGGCTAACTAAGGGTAGATGGGGGTTAACGTGGTAGAACATGATGTACTTAGAGCAGCTGGGGGTTAACGTGGTATAACATGGCTAACTAAGGGTAGATGTAGGTTAAAGTGGTAGAACATGGTTAACTTGGGGTAGATGTGAGTTAACGTGGTAGATCATGGCTAACTGGGGGTAGATGGGGGTTAACATGGTAGAACATGGTTCACTAAGGGTAGATGGGGGTAAACGTGGTGGAACATGGCTAACTTGGGGTAGATGGGGGTTAACGAGGTGAAACATGGTTAACTTAGGGAAGATGGGGGTTAACGGGGTAGAACATGGCTATCTTGAGGTAGATGTGATTTAACGTGGTAGAAGAAGGCTAACTTAGGGTAGATGTGAGTTAACATGAAAGAACATGGCTAACTTGGGATAGATGGGAGTTAAAATATATGGTTCATTAAGGGTAGATGTCAGCTAACGTGGTAGAACTTGGTTAACTTATGGTAGATGGGGTTAATGTGGGACAACATGGCTAACTTAAGGTAGATGTGGGTTAAAGGGGTGTGGAACATGGTTAACTCGGGGTACATGTGGATTGACGTGGTAGAAGATGGTCAACTTAAGGTAGATAGGGGTTAACGGGGTAGACCATGGCTAACTAAGGGTAGATGGGAGTAAACGTGGATGAAAATGGTTCACTAAAGGTAGATATGGGTAAGGGGGTAGAAGAAGGCAAACTTGGGGTAGATGTGGGTAAACGTTGTCAGTGAACAAGGTTGACTTAGGGTAGACGGGGGTTAACGTGGTAGAACATGGCTAACTTCGGGTAGATATGGGTTAACGGGGTATAATATGGTTAACCTAGAGTAGCTAGGGGTCAACAGGGTAGAACATGGCAAACTTGGGGTACATGTGGATTAAAGTGGTAGAACATAGCTAACTTGGGGTAGATGTGGGTTAACGTGGTGAAACATGGTTAACCTGGGGTGCATGAGGGTCAACGTGGTAGATCATGGCTAACCTAGGGTAGATGGGGGTCAACAGGGTAGACCATGGTTAACGTAAGGTAGATGTGGGTTAACATGGTAGAACATGGCTAACTTAGGGTAGATGTGGGTTAACGTGGTAGAACATGGTTTACTTAAGGTAGATGGGGGTTAAGAGGCTAGAACATGGCTAACCTGGGGTAGATTGGGGTTAACGTGGTAAAACATGGTTCACTAAGGGTAGATATGGGTTCAGGGGGTAGAACAAGGTTAACCTAGAGTTTGGTACACATTTAAAAGAGCATCAGAAAGCGGTTTTCCTTTGCAAAAAGGAAAATTCAGCTTTATCGGAGCACACATGCCTAACTAAACATACAATTGGGTAGGATAATTCTAAAGTTATCACCACTAATCGCCTTTGTTTGGAGGCTTGGCATATAAACTCCTCCCACGCTCCTTTAAATCGTGACGATGGCGGTTTGCTTCCTGACGCCTATTTACACCTCGTCAGAAAAAAGGCCGCTAATTAGTGATCGTATAAAAGGACCTCTTGATGCAGCGTTTAGATCACCCCTGATGAAGGCACTAGACAGGAGTGTCGAAACGTTGGGTCTATGAATTGTAACTTCTTCGGTTACATTCATTAAATCTGTAAACCAGAGTAGCATCAAACCATGTCTGTGGTAGAACATGGTTAACTTAGGGTAGATGGGGATTAATGTGATAGAACATGGCTAACGTAGGGTAGATGGGACTTAACGGGGTAGAACATGGCTAATCTTGGGTCGATTGGGGTTAACGTGGTAGAACATGGGTAACTTAGGATAGAGGTGGGTTAACGGGGTAGAACATGGCCAAATTAGGGTAAATGTGGGTGAATGTGGTAGAACATGGTTAATTTGGGGCAGAAGTGGGTTCTCGTGGTAAAACAAGGCTAACTAGGGCATGTCGTAAGCCATACATGAAGTCTGTAATATGAATGTTTTCTGCCATTTTTCGTTTTTATGGCATTCAGCCATGACGTATATAGATGAGAGGAGGTATGTAAGGTGAGTAAAGTTCCACAAGAATGATAAAGGATTTCATCACAAGAGGTTTTCTATTGAAAATTCATGCCTGAAAGATTATTGAAAATCTATTTGACCGTTCTATCCTGTTTCTCGTCTTCCTCTTGAGAAGGCTTTCGTTGTGGCACATTAGCTCTGTGAAGTCTTATTTGAAGTATCTTTCCAAGCTTCGACTAACACTCTGTGTTAATTATATGAAGGGACGATACAGTTTAAAATGGCGAGCGTTGTGAGGAGACATCGTTCGAGATCGCGATCACCTGCACGAAACAGAGGAAATCGAGACGATCGTGATAACGAAAGAGAACGTGATAGGCGAAGTCAACGCAGGGAGTAAGTTGTAAAATAAGATGGCCTTTTTTTCAGTTACAGATCGAAACTAATCACAAATTTTGGAGTTCAAAAGGGAACCAAAGTGCCATAAAGTGATTTGCCAATAAATAGTTCTGCACCACTGAGGGAAAGTGATTCATGTAATAGGGCATGGACCTTGACTCTCACATAATTTCCTTAGCTTCGGAAATAAAATCAAAGGTGGAAAACGAAAGGAACTCTTTTCTCGATCAGCAGTAAAGGGGAACAGCAGCAGTAATTTTAGCTCATAACTAAAATGAAGTTCTTTTTGTTATCAATTCAAATATAAGAATAATTTATTCTCCTTTGAAGATTTCTGACCACGACCATTGAGAATTGTTCAAAATGCATTTTTTAAGCTAGCCAGAAATTTATGCACACGTAGAATATTGAAAGGGAGTAACTGTCCTGATTTCTGTTTAGCTCTTAAAAGAGTGAACATTTTCTCCAAATATTAATTCTTGTTCTGTTAGGGGAAAATTACTTGAATGTACTTCAATTTGATTGGTAGAGAACATGCTGATTTAGCCACTGATTGGCTTAACTAGCTTAATGTCTGCAATGGATTGGTTTCTCTTCGGAAAGGATATGTTTGAGAAAAAAAAGAAATGGCTGTATTGATTAGTTACAAACTGTATTTCAAAGCTGTGAATTCTTATGCTTACTTTGATGAGATAAGATGAACAGCCAAATGTTTTTCCCTATTTTGCTTACAGCAAATTAATGTTGACGTCTGCTCAAAGAAATATATTTTCTAATTTATAGTTTTTTTTCATTGTTAATTTCCCACTTTGCTCCTTAGTTTGAGAAGTTTATACATCTTGTACATGTGGCTAGTGATAGAACAGTGTCATTAATCTTAGTCACAGCTTTTTCATGTGCTGTTACACCTGTTCCTCTGAATTTTTGTCTTCCAAAGCACTTTGTCTTCCAAACAGTTGAACTTTGAGTAATATCTTCTTATTTAAGCAAGCATCTAGAATCAAGAAATAACAGAGTGGATGGTGGAAGGAGGAGTCATCAAGACACAAGTCATGGAGTAAGTTTAGCGGAGCATTTGATAATAAATGAACTTGTTGAGCAGTAAATGAAAGTTTTTTATTTCATCCCTGTTTATAGAGTTACAAGATGCGATTTCTTTTTATATGCACAATACTTTCAACATTGCTAATCCTAGCTGTATACAGGATATTTGTCATGATTTTGAACCCAATTACTGCCTAGTTCATCAAAGAGTGTCTTTGGCCAAGTAGTAGCTCATCAAAATGAAAAGGTGTGGGGTTTAATTTCTCATGGAGACGCATAATTTTCTTCTTTGTCCCAGGCTTGCAACAAGAGGGAAAAAAACATCTGTTTCTATTTCTTTCTTAGGCTCAAAAACATTTTTACCATCACTCGTATTCTATTTGCACAAGATGCAATTAATACAACATAACCTAAAATAATTTTCTTTTCATTAGTCTCCTAGAACTTTTTTCACTTGTTGTAGTCTTCTTAGAACTACATAACATTTTTATGTTCTAGACACAGCTACCTTTCCTTTTTTTATCTTAGCTGGAAAAACTGGTTGCTCTTGGCAAATTACCATGGACTATGAGTTGTTATTTAGTTATTGTCATGCTTTTCATTTTAATCAGAGTAGATCTGCCAGTAGAAGAGAATGGGACAAAGATAAGTATCACAATGAAAGAGCTCCTGAAGGTTGGTGGATAGAAACCTTTTTTTTTCTAATGTTTTATCCATTACATTGCCTTTCAATTGAATGGCTCAAATGATTAAACCATATTTAAAATTGGATAATTTTATTTTTCACTTTTTTCAATGCTTTTTAAGGGGAACATCTTTAATGACTGAGTATGTGAAGGGTACAATTTCTAAGGAACATGTGATTGTCTGGGTACACACCTGCCACACACCTTGTGCAACTGAATTTTGTCACTTATTATGAAAGCTACCAAAGGAAGGAAACACTTAGACTCCTCAAAACAATATCACTACCTCAAAAACTTTGTGTTCAATGTAATTCCTACCCTCTAAACTATTTAGTTTTAATTTCAAATTGTCTTTTAATATAAAATGTTACAATTTATTGATGATAAATTTTGCATTATTTTCTCAAGATGTGACTGATAATTTGTTTATCTTTTCAGCCTCTCATCCAGAGAGAAGATACCACAACAGAAGGCAGGAAAGGCAACATTCACCAACTGAGTAAGCATCATTTTCAGAATGTATGATTTACCATTTAATGCTATAAAAACTTACACTATAACTGGTTATGAGGTAACCTATGTCCCACCAATTCAGATATTGTGGGAGGGGAGAGGGAGGGGTTTGGTTTTTATCTCTAAAATAAAGAACCACTTTTAACGACATTCAAATGTATTCTTAAAGAGTCGTCAAGTCCAATAAATTATTATTATTACAGATACAAATACATCTTTGTCCAAGGGTGTCAAGTATTAGATTGCCTCATATTTCCTTTCAATGTGGTAATGTTTCTCAGTATTCATGGTTGGCTTTTGTAATTAATTTGCTCATCTAACTCTTTTGACTTTTGAGCCCTGTCACATTTTCTCATTCATGTAGCAAATTACTCCTACTCTCTCTCAGCACAGTATACATGTACAATTATAATGTTAAATTTCGATATGTAAAGGGTTTCAGAGTTGTAAAATTACATGTAGCTTGTAATGCTTTTGCACACTCAGTAAATAATCCTAGGCTGTTAGTTCCAATATTTTTTTAGGCCTCTTTTTTTCTTCCAAAGATGTCCATTTGGTAGATGACTGATTTTTCTTGTATGCTTATGCTTGGTTTTCTGGATTAAATACTGAACATTTCTTTCTTATAAGGCACAAAAAAATTACTTGATCAAACTTAGGGATTTCTGTCAGTAATAAATAGAAGAACAACACCTCCTGATTTATGGACAATTGTGTTTAAAACTTTTTATACCTATTTCTTGGTCGCCAATTTAAAAAATTCTCTTAATGTATTCAAATTCAAAGGCATCAAAGACCTGCTGAGGACAGTGGTGGACAAGATGGAAACCTTGAACCAGATGGTCCCAATTACAATCTTTCAGGAAAATTAACAGAATATTCAAACACTTACAAGGTAACTACACCTGATAGTCATTACAAATTCAATAAATTTGTCGTTCTGCCTTTATTCCACAGAAAAAAATTTTTGGTTTCTGTCTTAATTGATGGTACATTCGGAGTAAAATCCTTTAGCACTGGACATTTATGTATTTGCTTTGTACTTGATTTGATGTTTGGGTTTAATGTTAATTCTTATACATTCAACTTACTATCTCTTTTCTGATTGGCTGAAAGCATACAAAGAATTTTTAAAATCAGACCCTGGGACACATCTAGCTGCAGATTATACAATAATCATGTGTCAAGGACACTCAAGGTCACAGGTAATCATGTCTGCAGTGCATGATTTCTAAGGGTAATCTTGAGATGGTATGCCAACCTTCCAAAATGATTGTTGACCACTGCCAACATAAATTCTTTTTTGATGACAAGTTTCTGATTTCCAGTTGCAAGTGTCTATTCTGTAAATTCTTGAGCTTTAAGTACTGACTAGTATATGCTTCTTGAAATGCATTGCTCTTCTTGGGATTATTCAAGTGATACAAAGTTATTTAATGTAAACAATGGTTAACAGTCTAAAGGTTGATATCAGTAACATTATTTGTTCCCATATATGATTTTCATATATTCACAGTTATTGATACATTCAGGGGTTTATCGCAAACCCACATAATGACCAGCTCCCGGTTGGCCTGTTAGCTCAGTTGGTAGAGCACTGCACCAGTATTTCCAAGGTCATGGGTTCAATTCTGTACAGGCCTGAATTTTTATTTTCAGGCCCTATTTTCACTACTGCCTAAGTAGTGTTCAGTACTGCAAAGATTGCTTTCATGTTCATTTCTTAAACCGCAGTTCACATAATTATATGATTTTCATATATTCACAGTTATTGATTGTTTGTTGTTTCAAGGGTGTGGTCATCAAATATAATGAACCCATAGAGGCAAGGAAGCCAAGGACAAGATGGCGTCTTTATCCTTTTAAAGGAGAGGAGGCAATGTGTACGTACCTGAAGGCTCAAAATTTTTTTGTCCTAGCTTCCTAGGATTATCGCATATCACTGAAATTAACACCCCTTGTGAAAGCCAAAATGAAGCCAGCTCCTGTAATGAATACCCCTTATTGGAGTCTCAACTGTTTTGTGTTTCTTGTCTTCACAACTGTGTTCCAGCTGATTTTAATTGGCAAGAAGAGTCCATGTACTCCATTTAGGACAATGTTGGAGGTTGTTTTTTTGGGCCTCTCTCATTGATCACCTGGCAACTTACTCTGTTTACCCTGGGAGGGATTTACTCCATTTACCGGTATTTTACTTTGATGTGAGAAATATAAAAATTTTTTTGTAGCTGTTATGCACATTCACAGACAAAGTGCTTACTTGATTGGAAGACAGAGACATGTAAGTTTGTCATTATACTTGTTAACCAAAAATCTAAAATAATAAATTATCAAAAGATTGCAAAAGTTACAAGAGATTTTGAGACTTCTTTGTCATTGTTATATGTAAAGCATTTAAATATTTTTACATTTACTTGTTGCTCAATCAAACAGGATTGGCTAGTTATCTCCTTTATTTACATCTTTCAGATAGTTGATATTGCAGTAGATCACCCATCGTGTTCAAAACAGCATGCAGTTCTCCAGTACAGACTAGTAGATTATGAAAAGCCAGATGGTACTTCTGGCAAAAGAGTCAAGTATGTTCTTCATTGCTGTAGAGGTTATTGAGTGTTCCTGGAAACAGATTTAACAATGCAAAAGAAAAATTTGCATGCTTCTGATTGGCACACAAGTGCAAAGTTGTAACATGAGTGCAAATTACAAATAGTTCACACACACTTTCAAAATTTCATCTTCATTGTTATTATGCCTGATGCAGTGCCTTGACTTTCTTTGATGTTTTTTCATGTACATTATTTACATGTAATAACATTATTTCTCTTGTAATTTTATGTAATAAAACCTTGCAAATTTTTCAAAGACTACAAATTGCATTTGTGCACTAGCATTCATGCAATTTTGTTGTCTTTAAGAAATTCACTTGTGCTTATTTACACCAAATTGCACTCAACATCCTGTTATTACCTATATACTTATTATGATTGTTAGAAAAAAGGCAAGTCATTTTTACTCTATGTGTAGTGGTAAGCTATTGTTACAATCATTTAAATTCTTCAAAGCTCAATGCCAAGCTTATATACAGGAAATTGCATTGAATGTGCAAGCATATAGCAATGTGTAAACACAAGTGATATTTGGAAAGTTTTTAAAATTACTCAAGCTGTGGACATAAAGTACGATAGGAAAAAAATTTAAACCCACATGAGACCATACACATAATTATGTCTGACAGTTTTATGTGATGTTTTGTGTGTTGTAGTGTAACGCTAAAATTTGTAATAGTTTTATCCCAGGAAATAGATAATGCTGATGGCAGTAATGATGATGATGATAAAGCTTTCATTTATTCTTCGTCTTGACTAGCAAAGATCTGTTAATTCCCAACTGCTAGGCCCTTCCCGTCACTTCAGTAAAATTTATAACTTATTTGAATCTGTTGAGCAAAATTTCTTGGCCCTTATTGAGGCACTGGCAGTCAGTTTGCAGTATTATATTCTGTCATTTTTACTTTGTTTTTGGTGTTTTTTTGTTTGTTTCTTTTTCATCTGTAGACCATATATTATTGATCTGGAATCTGCAAATGGAACATTCCTCAACAACCAGAAAATTGAGCCCAGAAGATTCTATGAGTTGAAAGAAAAGGTAACGGCTTTATTTACGTGGGGACGAAGAAATAAATTGCAGACGAGCTTCCATAAGTGACGAGACGTAAGCCGAGTCTCAAAACACAGGGCTTCGTTTTCTAGTTTAAAATACTGGGCGAGGATCGTCATGTTTCTGTCTCCGCTTTCCACTTCACGTGCGTATGTTTGTAACACCCCTTTTATTTCAAAGAGGGCACGTTAAACTTGCAATCTGATTAATTCTTAGGGAAGGCAATATTCTCCAATTTGTTTACAAAAATGAACCTGTTCCTCTATTGGTCACGCCTGTGGCCTCGGGTAACACTTTCAAGACCGCGGTCACAGTTTTCACCAAAGGCACCTCCCAGCCGGCATTTGCAATGTAATATTTCCTTGTGGTATATTAATAATTATGTGATTTTTATTTCTTGTAGGATGTTCTTAAATTCGGCTTCAGTACCAGAGAGTATGTGATTCTAACGGAGAAATCTCAGGCTGACGATGATGACGATGAAGAACCAGCTGAATGAAACAGAACACTGCGAGTGTTAAAAGATATTAAATTCTTAGCTTTATTTTTGTTCACCATGAGAGTTCAAAAATAATTCAGATAGCTCCGCCAAGCCACGAGGGAAAAAAAAGGGCCACATTTTTGTTTTCCACAAAAGAAGGAGAAGAAGCTCAGAGGAGTAGTGTCACCGTCCATGAACTCTCTCTGAAGATGTTTACCAAAATTTCTTTTTTATCGCTTGAAGACTGATTTCAGTTTGTCGCGGAAAAGCACAATTTTGCGATTGTTGTCGAAGTAGATCTTTTTTTTATATATATATTTACTTAGGAGTCGAGCTCTGTGAGACATTTCCTTCACACTTAATAGATAAAATAAATAAAAAAAGGTCCGATTATTTCTCTCGGTAAAACGGGAATGACGTTTATCGCTCGTAGACAAGTGTTCGTTATGTGGTCCTCTGTAGAGGTTGCACTTCCAATACAGCTGGCTCTATGTAAGTTCGCAGTCTACTTTTTAATTTTATGTAAATACTCGTTCGCATTTCATGGGGTCGACAGGCACACCGCCTAGTTGAGAAGCAGCTTTACGACGGTGTGACTATTTATTCTTTATGCGTCTACTGCCATGTACAGGTCTGTTTCATCTTTATGGAAAAGAGACAACGAGCAGTGTTTATCTCAGAAATTATTCCTTATGGGCACATTTTAGTATTCTCTTAAAACAGTTAGTAATAAAAGATTATGCTCAAGTTACAGTAATGTTAATGTTGATCCTACCGAAAGTGAGGAAGTGAAGGTTTTGCTTACGACATTGTACTTATCAGTTTGTGTTCGTCACTTTCGCCTTTTTATGCTTGTTAAGAATGTTTGTCGTGCTTAAAACTAGTAGATCAGAGATGATGGCTGTTGTCGATTTGTTGTAATTTTTTCTCCTAGTTAACATTGCTGGCCGGGATATGTTATCTGACATCCTTTATCGATTTTCGCCATCCAGAAGAAGCCATTCTCTTACTTATCATAGTTTTCTTGTTCTTTTCACTCAAATTTACCGCTGGTGATTTTGCAAATAGTGCTCGCCTCGCAAAATGCAAAAGGACATACAAAATCAATCTCGTAGTCACGTCCCGCCGGTGTTGCACCTCTCAACATAACTCATTATGTGAGAAAATTTTTAAAATTTTGTTTCTGCATTTTTTATTCGCTCGTTAAACAGGGATAAGAGGAGTACCTTCAACTTTTCAACAGTTCTTTAATGAACAAGCAGTAGTATACTTTATCGTATAAACTACGGTGTTTCAGTCCTGAGAAAAGCTGTAGCAACATGCCAAACGATATTTTTTCACGTTTGTTTGATATCGCCAATCAGCTGCAGACGTGTCACTCGCCTTTCGCGCCACTCGGTCAGGTTGATGAATAAACGGCAAAGCCTTCAACATTCTTAATCTAAAGTCACTTGTCAAAACGTTTTCGGATTATGGCTGCTAAAACACTGAAAAATCCGAATCGCTTACAGACAGTGACGTTCAAACTTTCCTAGAAGGGGAAGAAAACCAACATAGGAAAATTAAAACCGAAAGTTACGTATTCAGCGGCTTTGGTAATGGCATTTCTCGCGGCTGAGAACGAAAATCGACAACGGGAAGATTTTTCACAGGCCGATTTTGGCGGTGTACCTGAAAGATTTCTTCTGTAAGTAAGGACCAATTCAATAAATGATAATTTTTTATATTGAAAATTACGATTTTTATTCGGGGATTGTCGATCCTTTTACTTTCATTTATTAATTAAGTCGACTTTGCATGTCAGTGAAGGGATGTTGCGTTTATATGATAAACAGAACAGTAATACATGGTTGCATGTAGATATGAAATTTTCTTCTCGTGTTCAACTCGACATCTCTCTCGTTCGCTTCTCTTACTCGTGAGCTATCGAGTTAAACACTCGAAGAGAAATTCCATATCTACGCGCGCCCATGTATTATTATCTATGTATAAGCTCAGAATTAACGCGTTTTTCCCGGCTGGTGTCTGTATTTAGACGTATTGCAAGGTTCTGAACTTGTAATTTTTCATGATCATGTCATATGATATCAGGGAGAAAGTTATTGTATACTAAATTGCAGTGGATAGTGTTTAAGGAGCACTCTGATTGGTTACTCAAATTCAGAAAATCCTTTGCTATTCACCTCTGAGCAACTCGCGCGGGATTTATTGTAATCGTTGCAGGAACAAATAAGGCAAAATCATCTTTTTGTGCTCCATTGCCACACTTTTTAGTATATGCAGCACTAAAACAACGACTCACCACAGTGTCGGCGGCACGCAGTGGATATTTACTACGCTCTTTCGCAGCTCGGGAAATATCCACCACTATCACCTCCACCTCGCAATAATCGAGGATTGATATCACAAAAGCATTTACAATGCGTTTGAGGTTATCTTGAGACAGATATTTTCTGATCCGACCTATATAACTTATTGCCAAGATCGCCTTTACGCATATGTTATTGAGGAACTGTTGTAGAGTGGGCTCCTGGCCTTATATGATACTCAAGTGTCCTACTATACTTTCAGGATACTTTATCAGACTGTTCTCTTGCCGTGTTAGCGAATAAACAATGGTCAATGACAGGATTTCAATTCGAACAAACAGGAGGTAAGTTTGGTGGCCTCTTCTTTCCTAGGATGACATAAAAAACATATGCTGAATGTTCCAATTGATAACGTCCTCATTGAAATTCCACAAATGATGCAATGCGTTCGACCGCAAAGGGATAAGGAAACCCGTTAGAGTACAATGTCAGAGAAACCAACATGACATCTGAGCCTGCGTATGAGAATGTTGACAACTAAAGTAATGAAGGCAGCCGATTAATTCTAGCATCATCAAGAAAACCTTTTGAAAAATGATATTGGATCGTCGGGACGCGTAAAAGTGCCGTTTCAGTAGACACCCAGTAGAGTGGTTTTTGCGATAAGCAGATTGCAGAGAAGGGAACCACTTGTTAGTTTCAAAAATGAGATTATATTTGAAGCACTACCACTTCTTTGATTATATTAGATAGGAACGAAATATTTACTCTAGGTCTACAGCTCTTCATTTTATCCTGATGAATATACGATTGTTTAAGTAGAGGTCGTACGAGGGAGTGTTTAACTGATACAAGCGAGAAACAAACCAGTCAACAGTGACTCGCTGTATTGACAGGTACAATATGATCGAAGTAGTCTATGATTGGTCGGGTTGTCATAGGGTCCAAAGGACATGATTTCGTTGATAAGGCTTTCATGACATGATGAACCAAAGTGTTGTTGGCCGAAGTATGTTTCAACAAACCAAGTTCTAAAGAAAGACAAACAAGTTTCAAACAAGTTTTTCATGTTTTATGATATGCGCGCGAAGTAAACGTTCTAGCAATTCAAATTTCAACTTTTGAGCCAATCAGATCTCTCTGAGAACCACTGAGGAGCGGGCTCAAACGTCACAATGAAGTTGTACGATTTCAACGCAAGATCTGCTTACGAGAGTCCAGTAGCCTTTTTCACTTCATCAATTGGATTGTCTTGTTTCAAACTTTAATTTTACACAATGGGTTATGCTTTTAGTCGCAATAATCGTCGAGTATCAGGAGTCTTTAGGAGGGTTAAGGTAGGTGTTTTTCTGAAATTGAGCTTTTAAAAGACCCTTTGTGACGCCTTTACTGTAATCACCTCGACTGAGGCATGTTTTTATTTAGATATAAAATGTCCCTTGTATTTTCTACAACTCGAGCTGGCAACTATGTTTGTGTGTACATTTTTGTTTTCATATCGCACTATGCAAGTCGGACGCTATACTGTAACAAAACGCGCTGCACCCATCTCAAGATAGAATCCAAGGGTCATGTTTTCGTTTAGTGTCTATTTTGTTTACTTTAGCGGGAAGTTCAAGTCTGAAGAGGCCTTCGCTGCAAACCAGCTCTTAAATAGATGTATGTTACTCGCCAGCCGGGAGTTCCGTATTGGGAAAAACTGTGCCCTCTGTCTTGAGGATAGTTTTTCCCAATACGGACCGACCTAGGCTGGTGAATAACAATTTAACTTTTTTCCTTAAACTTAATGAAATTCTCTCCAAAAGAACCTGAATGATTTAGGGCTGTAATTACAACAAGATCTTCCATAAACTGAACAATTTTTGAGCGAGTAGATGGTAGTTAAAATAGAGGTAATGCAAATTAAAGAGAG